GCGGGCACTGCCGCAGATGAAAAGCTTTGCAAACTTTTTGCTAATGTGTCCTGGTTTCAATTGTGTACTGGTTTTGTCCTGGTTTTGCAGATTTGGTCCTGGTTTGTACTTTTTTTATTATTGACGTTATTAGCACATCTCTAATATAGATGATCTGATCTAGCTCGCTCCTCTCACCATTTTTATCTACTTACCTACTTATTTTAAAACAATGTTTTTACATTTTATTTTTCAAAAACAGTTTTTGTATTGTTTGGGAATAAAAACTAATAATTACTGGTATGTAGGCAGAGCTGTTCCGAGTACAATGAAAAAGTACTCGAGTACTGAATACAAGTACTCTTATATAAAAGTACTCGAGTACCAAGTACAAGTACAGTACCGTTGTACTCGAGTACCCATACGAGTACAAAGTACCGAGTACACTTTAGTTATGAAATGTTGGGAAAAATGCTAGAGAAATGGGGCGATTAAAAAATGAATTTAGAATCACTAGTGCAAAACTAAACAATAGCCGGCCTATTGCCTTCATCAAATATTGATATTTCGCTTTATGTTAATTATCAAGGCCGGCTGGTATCTTGTTTTACTTTGCCTTAGCTTTATTTTTTAATTCCTCTTTCCTGTGTCTTTTTATTTATTGATTGAGGCTGTCTTAAGGCTGTCGTGTGAGGCAGGCTGTCTGAGGCTGCCAAATTTGCAACACCCATGCACATATTTGCACATATGTGTCCACGCCAACCTCATCGCATAAAAATGTACTCATTGCATACTTTGGATGTACTCGAGTACACGTAAAAGTACTCGAGTACACGGAAAAGTACTCGAGTACATTTTTGCAATCTCAAATGTATCAAGTACAAGTATAAGTACATCCAAATTAAAGTATTCGGGACTGAGTACCGAGTACACTGAAAGTACTTGGAGTACAGTGTTTGAATACTTGTACTCGAGTACCGCACAGCTCTGTATGTAGGATTACCTAATTAAATTTTATTTGCCCCTTATTAAATTAAATTTAAATATTATAATCACCATTTGTATATTTTTAGCAGACTTCTAACATAAATTATTTTGACTTTACCATGTCGACCTCAAATCCCAAAAAAGTATGCAATCCACTTTTAACTTGGAATTATAAAAAAATTCCATTCATATAATAAACATCGAATAAATAAGTTTTATTTATTTTTTGAAAGGGCGATGGGGGCATGTTATGTCCTGGTTTTTTATTTAAGAAAGTTTGTCACACTACAAATATAACCAAATAACAAATAAATTTTACAAAATTTATCAAAAATTAAGATATTATAAAAAAAACTACTTTTAATAATTATTAATTATTATTAATTATAATTAATATAATAAAAAATTGTCATTATTCCTGCAGAGTAGGTATAACTAAATAAATGTACAGTAAAATAATCTTTATATACTCCTATTGCATAATTTCGGGTTTTTTCCGTGAATATTATTAAACATTTTAAATTTCCTGTCTAACAACGTAAATAATAAACTCATTATTCACGTTGTTAGGCATCAGTTATTGGCGGATTTCAATATTCACTGTGATTTGAACCAATCGGGTTTTAAATTGGAAGAAGGCGACTATAATAGCATTTAAAATTGGTAAAAACTTAGGTTAACCATTTGACAGATGTACGATTTTATTTATTTAATAAGTGCAATTAAATGTTTTCTTATGTTCTTAAAGGATTTTTAAGAACGCTACAGAGTTTTAAAAACCGCAAGATTTAAAACGCTTCGATAGCCTTAAGGAAAGATCGAAAAATTACGAGTTTCTATCATGGTTTCCAAAGTTTTTTTTTATTCGGAATTTGGGTGTTTATTTGGCAAATTCTAGGGACCCTTAACTTATAATTGGCTACATTAAGTAAAACAAAATTATTTAGTAGATTTATGCAGCACAAATTAATTATGTTTTGTTTTTAAAATTCCCTCGTGAAATTTCACACCCATTAAAGTGGGATTATAAAAGTTAAAAATCGTAAATTGATATGATTTAACTTAACTATATATAAAAAAATTTGGTTTTAAATTTAAAAGATAGGATGGAATAATTTTTATTATTTTTAATTAATTTTGTGAAAAATCTGCGTTTTTCAAAAAATAATAATACTGTCTTTAAACAAAAAGCTTTTATCTACTCCTACATTGACGAGCTGTCACTTTATGGCGTTTTATTGACGGGCTGAAGTTAACAACAGTGGCTTTTCGACATTTTACGTCACGGGCTGAAGTTAGCTTTATTATAAATTGGGAAAAAGTGAGGTTAAATTCGGGTGACAGTTGACAGATGTCAAAATTTTAACAACAAAAAATTGGCTTTACATTCTGTTTTTTGTTCTTCGAAGATAAAGTATAGTATGCAACTCGTTTATAAACTTCTCTAGACACTCGTTTTTATTAAACACTCGCTCGCAAGCTTCGCTCGTGCTTAATTAAACTCGTAACTAAAATGGCGTTTATAAAACTTGATACATAATATACTATTATTATAATATTTATGTAATTATTATATTTTATTAATATATTGTATATAAGAAAATAGAAAAAACTAATGAAGTGCTACTGATGAAATAATTTCATTGAAATTTAAATTACTTATTACAACAAAATGAAAAAAATGTTTTCTGAAAATGTTAGATTTTAAGTTTTTTTTGAGATATTTCAGATTAAAAAAGCCCGATTTTAGATAAATCGCAATATTTTAGCTATTTTAAGAAATGTTAAAAAAGGTATGAGGTGATTTAACTATGTACTTATTATAACAAAATAAAATATAGTTTTCTGAAAATTTGAATTTTTTAGTAGGTATATCCCTTCTGAGATGTTTTTGATTAAAAATTTACCCGATTGAGGACTAATCGCAATATTTTGGCTATTTTTAAAAAAAGCACATTAAAATAATAAAATACGATAAAATTTTATTTTATTTTATAAATTAATGTGCTTCCAACAGGCCTAATATATTAAATAAAACACAATAAAATTATGTTTTCTGAAAGATATTTTAAATTAGACATGTTAAGCTACTTTTTTAAATTTCTAAAAAACATATAGTCTTTGTGTTGAAATTTGATCCACTTATTACAACATAATAAAAAAAATTATCTTCAAATTTTGGATTATTAGAGTGTGTACCTAATGGATTATTTCTAATTAAAAATATGCCCAATTTTAGTCAAATATTTTAATATTTCTATTTTTAAAACAATCAACTAAAAAGGTAAAAAGTCTGATTGAGTGGTAAAATTTAAACCGCTTATTACAACTTACAATTGTGTTATCTAAAAATTTTTAAAGTATGTATGTTCTACCTGTAAAAGCTTTTGTATAATTTTTACAATTAATGTTTTCTGCCTTTTATATTTTTAAAAAGAATTTTTAATAAAAAATAAAGCTAATTGTGCACATTCTATAATACATTAAGGAATAAAAACAATTAAAAGTATTCGAATAAATCTCTGACTAAGTCGCGGTATCGAACTTACAGCGCGCGGCAGCGTTAAAACTCTGCTCACTGCTTGATATTAAATAATATCTTCCTACGAAAAATTTGTGTTTGCAGTGTTGCCGGATTTAGGGCTACACAAGAACCGTAAGATATCTAGGATTCCTATTCTAGATACACTTACTACAGCGCGCCACCTACAGTTAAATTCAATGAACTATTTTGTATGTAACTATGGCTAAACCGGTCGTTGTTAAGCCCTGCCAAAAATTTAACCTGGGGTTCCCAACACCGTGATTAATCGATTAGCGTTGAAATAACGTCAAACGTTGTTCAGCCCGGGAGTGGGCCACACAAAGTCATTTCGGGCTACACAGAGTATAGCTTGTATATAGAATGGGCTGCACAATGACCGTTTAATTGTATATATATATATATATATATATATATATATATATATATATATATATATGAAAATGAGGTTTTATTTTTGTTGTGTACATCTAAACATTGTTTTTAGAGGCCTAAAATCAATGATCTGACGTGCATCACAGCAGCCTGTATGAGGCGCCGTTTGTGCCATAATTATGATTTGTAAAATATATAATAATTTCTAAAATAAATATATATTTTGTTTAAAATATAAATATTTTATCTAAAATATATATATTTTAGCTTATTTTATAACATAAATATTAGTTTTACTAAAATATAATAATATTTTTACAAAATAATATATATTTAAAATATTTATATATTTGGACAGTTGAACTATTAATATAATTTTAATACTAATAATATAAACTCAGCTTACAAGACGTAACGCCAGGAGGCGCTGGCTGCTTTATTTAACTTGGCAACGCAGCCTGTCTGTAATTGCATGTCGGAATTACTGTGGTCTGTAATTGCATGTCGGAATTACTGTGGTGTAAATTAAATAAAACTAGAAGATACATTAAAAATAATAATACCTCTGGTACGTAATAAAGCACTTGGGTATAAGTTTAAATTAAAATCTAACAGATTAATAGGTCATTTAAAATTTCACCGCAGTAATGGAACCAAATCGACGAAATAGTTTTGCGTAGCCCAGAATTAAGGAATACAAAATTATTGTTTTAAAAAGACAGTCACGACAATAAACATCCAGTTAAACATATAATAAATAACAAAAAGCCAAAGTGCGGCAAAAAGTTATTTATAGTATATTGCCTTACCTAGTAATTCTAAAGCATAAAAAACTCTTATAAAAAATTAATAAATTTGAAAAAAATAATTACGTTAAACTACTTTTTTCCTATTCCTGCTGGGGCGGCAAAAATATCTTCGCCCGGGGCGGCAAAAAACGTCGGGCCGGCCCTGTAACATATAAAAGTTTTAGGATCGATATCGATCCTAAAAGTTTGTCGATTAAAACCTGGACGACCCTGTATATACAAAAAATATCGCATTTAACCATACATACCAGCAAATAGCAGGCAGCTATGATATTCACAAAATTACAAACAAAACGATATTTTTTTAGGATGTACCCTATGTGGGGGAGATACCTGATTGGTCTACAGGAAAAATGGTTAGGGTACAGGGTATTGTAGACCCAAATGCAGACAGGTAGGACAATTTGTCCTGGACAAATACCAGTAAAAAATATTTTATTATTAAAATGATATTTTTTGTAGGTTTAATATTAATCTACAGACAGGCCCCAATGCTAGACCTAGGGATGACACAGCTCTACATATTTCTGTTAGGTTAAATCAGGGCTACATCGCGAGAAATGCTTATATTGATGGAGCATGGGAAGATGAACAAGGGACAGGGTCTTTGCCCATTGGTCCAAACCAACACTTTGAAATTATCATTTTAAATGACGAAAAAAGTTATAAAGTAAGTAAAATAAAATATTTTTTTTACATAAAATCAGACCTTAAATCAAACTTTGGCAAAAATTGGAAGAGTATCTGGGTAATTCTCCCATAATTTTAATATTTAGATCCAAACATTTTTAAATATAAAATTTGTCAGTTTATCTTGTTGATATTTTTTGACTCTAGACCTTGCCTTCGAATGATAAGCTAAATTTTACAAGTCATCAAAGCACTAGTCCTGACCGGTCCTTACCTTATTTATAAAAAAAATGGCAAAAATCTTTAATAAATGCAGAAATTTGCTTTTTACTTATAATTTATAACTGTATAAATAAATTGAAAATTTGACTGTTAAGGCTTATTTTTTTTTAATTTTATGAACTAATACTAATATAAAATGAATTCCTTTACTCGCCTATCGGCTAGCTCGGAAACTTTTATCATCGGGAGTATTTGCTATGATTCCACAATATACTATTTCCTCAGCAGTAATTTATTCTGTGTTTATAATTTTTTTAACTGAAAAAGTTAATATTTAATATAAATATTAAAAATTTAAATAATTACGGCATATCTTTGCTGCATTTTTTTAATATCCAGTTAATTTTAGTTGATTTATAGGCTTCCTTAATTTTTAGTTTAATTTTTTAATTTAAATTGGCAAAATACCAAAGATTATTTCCCTCATTATAATATGAACCAATCAAAAGCTTTGAATTTTCGAATAAATTTCGTTTAAATAAGCGATTAAATCACTAGAACTATTTAACAGCGATTAAATTTTAGCCTCCATATTGGATTTTTGTTTACGATTTTATGGTGTTATTTACAAGTTTTAACAAACATTTTTTAAAAAACAATAAAAAATAAGTTATCTAGTTTACGAAATATCAATTATTACTTATTAAATACCTTAAATTAATGGAATTTTCTTTAAAAAAATATTTATAAATTTTGACACATACGTCAGATTTTATGAATTGTCAAATAGTTTCCTTTAATTCGAGAAATAATCTAGACGTATATTACTCAACCTATAGTTACATGCAAAATAATTAAAAATAAAACCCCTCGACCGCTACGCGGTCTCGTGATTTTATTAAATTATTTTGCATTCAACATTTTTCAACAAAAACCAAACAAAAAACTAATGAGCCTAGTTTAACCGATTAAATTCATGGTTCTCGTGATATAATATATGATTAAATATATATATATTAGTATACTAAATTAGTATACTAAAGAGTATATTTAATCTTTGGAAATACCTAACAAAATAATTAAAAGCACCACAACATTTACACATAAAATAAGGTACCAACCGTCCTGGTTTTAATTGAGGGGCTCGGTGCAAGAACCGGGTATCTCTATATTTTTAATAAATTGAGTTATACACCCTTCAGTAGTCCGCATCGTTCGGTGCACAAACCCTGTAGATCCAGGTTAGCGTTAACTAAATATATCAGTAGGGATGGGATTTTAGATATTTTACCTTTTTTCAGCCGATGTAACTATTTGAAAACCAATAATGCCAAAATGTGTTTTAAAAGATTTTCTTTTATATGAACCTAACTTGTTTTCACCTTTTTTACCTTTTTTGGAGGTTTTTGCTTTAAAGTACCTTTTTATACTTTTGTTACATATTTTTTAATTTGTCAGTTTATTTTCACCCATTTGTTACCTATTTTTACGTATTTTTACTTATTTTATTTTTTTGTGCTCTTTTTAAATTTTGCGCCAATATTTTATCCAGGGCGTGCAACTCAACGGTATAGAATTTTAGAGATGGGAATCGGAAAGTTTCCATTTTAAGGAAACTTTCCCTTTTGGAAAGTTTCCAATTGGGAATTTATTTTCATTTTGAAAGTTTCTTTTAAGCTACCGGAAACATTCCTTGGAAACATTCCTTGGAAACTTTCCTTGTTTTTTTCATTTAAATGGCTGATTTTCGTTAAGGCCATGATACAAGACCAAGAAACTTTGAATAGGAATTTAATGTGTGTTTATTTAAGGCAGAAGAAGAAGTATAAATAATGTAAGTTATGTTACATAACCTCAATGAAGCCGGATTATTTAGCATCATCACAAAAAACTTTTTTAAAAAAAACGTAAACAAAATAAAAACAATAAACAAAGTTAAAATCATTCTTACATTTTTGTTGTTTATTTATAGGCATAGCACAATGCCAAGAGAAAAATTTAGTGTTTGAAATTATTACAAAATAGTGCAAAAAAACAAAAATTTTATCAGTCAGAACTGCAATACTATTTTTAGTATCTTTTACTTTTCAATATTCCTATATAAAAGTTAATTTGTCCATTTTAATTTTTTTACGTAATATCTAGGATTTACTAGCAGTGAATTTCTAATAGTAAACATTTTATTTTTATTTTGTAGGTTTCAGTATACAATAGGAATATTCCAAAATAAAAGATACTAAAAATAGTATTGCAGTTACATTCTTATAAACATTTTTTTTATTTTTTTTCTTAATAAAATTTGACAAAAAGTTAATGTGTTATATATTTTTGCAAATCCCTGGCATAAAAAAAATATTTTCGCAATAAAAATTTTGAAACTTTCGGAAAATTTTGGGAATTTTCGATGGAAAGTTTCCGGGAATTTTCGTCAAATGGGAATTTTCCCATCTCTATAGAATTTTATCTTATGGTCACAGACTGTAACAGTAACTTTCTCTACAGTTACCTTCTTTGTAGTGAGCTTATGTTCTGTCATAGAACTTCTGTGTAGTGAGTGTCACTCAGTGAAACACAGTTTATTGCATATAAATAGTTTATTGTGGCTATGTTCTGTGTTTGGGTATGCGGCTAAACAAAATTATAAACGAAACTTGAACTTTTAATGTTTTTTTTACCTAAAATGCTGTTTTTTCTAACCTAAAATGCTTTTTTTAGTACCTTTTTAGTTACCTATTTTTCAGTTTTTAGTACCTAAATATCCCATCACTATATATCAGATACAGGAGATTCCGCAGAAATTATACTGTGCAATAATCAGGTAACTCCGGAGAAAATTCTGAATGTAGCGAATTTGAATAAAAGCAAAATGTAATATTTTTTGTGAAAAATATTTTTTTGACCCTAATAATAAATGTTTGTTCCAAAGGGTCTGTCCATAAATGTCACACTTTTTTAAATATTTCCCCCTCTTGTCAATAGTATAGTACCCCCCTCCCCCACTGTCGTCACGTCACACCGATTTTATTTTTAAGTTAGGTTTATCCTTTATTAAATACCTACTTTGAATAAAAATACAAGAAAGATTAGAATAATTTTTTAATTTACTGACGTCACAACCTGCTAAAACTCCGACATTTCCGAAGACCCCCTCCCCCAAGTTTGTGACATCATTTATGGCCCTTACTTAATTTTTGGATAAAAAGTTTATTTTTTTGTAATTACTGGGCAAGAACGAGGTATCTCCATAGTTACTATTACGATTACTAATAGTAACTGATTTTATAATAAACCGAAAATCTGGTAATTTAATGTCAATTGGTCTATAGTACCCATAAAAAAAATTAATGACATTGTATAAAATAATTTTTAACAAGGTTTTTCTTGTCTCCTGAACATTTTCCGAATATTCGGTTCTTGCACCGAGCCCCTCAAATTGTGTACTAGTTTTGTTATTATTTTGTTATTGTTGTACTGGTTTGTTATTCGCTCAGGTTAAAAATTAATTTATCGTACATGTAGGGCCGGTTTATAAATCTCTGGTTAAGTTCCAGTTAGTCTATCTGACAGTTAAATTCCATATCGATCGTTGTGAGAACAATGGTATCCATGGAAATAATCTACCAGATAACTAACTGCAACTTTAACTGGACATTAATAAACCGGCCCTTAGAAGAGTAAAAAAGTAAAAACAAACCTCGTTTGAAAAAAAAATTATGGCTTTTTCTCACTTTTTTACGATTTGTTCTATTATTTTTAAAAGTGGTCGGGCTCAGGTTAAAAATTAATTTAAAAATCTGAATTTTTGGGAGTACCTTCAGGAGTTTTTCCCACTTTTTTAGGATTTTTTGTATTAAATGTGGACGGGGCTCAGGTTAAAAATTAATTTAAAAATCTGAATTTTTGGTAGTTAAAAAAGAAAGAAAAAACCTCGTTTTTTTTTAAATTATGAGTGTTTTCCACTTTTAGTGGGTTTTTAGGATTTGTTATAATTTTTTTTTAAATTGGTCGGTGCTTAGGTTAAAAGTAATTTAAAAATCTAAAACTTTGGAAGTATATTTAAAAAATATATAGTTATAGGTATGTAAAAATGTAAGAAAAAACCTTGTTTGAATTTTTTTTTAATTACACTGAAAAAAATTATCTTACTTTTATTTTACTTTTGTAGTAGTAAAGTGACTTTGACTAACTACAACAGGGACAATGTTATTAGGATTAATATTAAATGAGAGATACATACCACTACGAAATGGTATACTCTGTAAATTAAATTTACCACTACTATAAGTAGCACGGATTATAACAAAATAGTTAAAAATTGTACAATTCTGCGTCATGGATAATTTTACCATTACAACTGGTTCGTAATAAATAGCTTACCACTACAAATAGTAATTTTTTGACGTTTACCACTACAGTGGTTAATACTAATAATGTTATAATTAATGAAATTTGGTACGAATCAAGAAGCAACGGAAAATTTGGCCATTTAGTGGTTGTCTGTTTACGGCTTTGCATAGTGCGTAGTTTTGTGATATCATACTATACTGTTTTTATCGTGTTGTGAGTAGGTGTGGACAGTGGCGTATTTAGGGGGGGGGTCCGCCGGGTCCGGACCCCCCCCGGGCGCACATATTTTATTATTTTTATTACAAAAAAAAGTTAAAAAAAAAATTAAAACCTCAAGACTGTCAACGTACTTTATTATTTATTAATTATATTTAAATATAAAATCATTAAAATCAAAAATCAACTACTTACGTATTAAAGAGAAAGAGGTGGTTTGGCAACCCTGTAGGTACTATCGCTAACAAAAAAAAC